TTCCCTCCCTCAGAAGGCAGAAAACGACGCTGTTTTACCCCGCTAACGATAACGGCAACGTAAATAACAGTAGACACGAGCTAACGGCGTTTGATTACTTTTGAGAATCCAACGATGGAGGCAGTCTGCGCCACGTGTTGAGTCGGTGCCACCCAGATTTTGTAATTGGCAGATGACTTATGTGTATAATTTTGAGCTGTCCTTTTTTTTGTACCCTTCTTTTAATTCTAATATAGTTTGATACTCACATTCCACTCATCTATATATTTTGGCATCTCTATGATATAATGATAAGGTAGATAGATTAATGAAAACGAAAATAACTTCATTCTTTTATGAAACGAAGCATGGCTAAAAGCTACCGCAAGTGATATACATACATTACTTTATCATAATAATAAAGTTATAATTTAAACTTCATGTAAATTACCCGAACCTCTTAATCTTTGTATGTTAGAGGTGTATAAAGCATTGACGTTCATCAGATAATGACAATACAACAGTTACCAAGTGACATTGTAAATTTTACATTAATAGTAAGGGAGACCAAAGCAACAAAACATATATTCGAAATGTTAAGGGAATAACTAATTATAAGATTTCGTAAATTACAATTATTTTATTCCTACTGCACCAAACTTTTTTAACGATTTGAAAGATATTATATAAAAAGACTCTCATTGATTCTACCCTGTTTGTTTGTAAGAGATGCTATCAAAAATGTCAAAGTAAAGAGGAAAAAAATGTACAATTTACTGGTATGTGGTCGTACAAAGATGTTTGAAAAGAATATTTATTTGAATTTATGTAGAGAAGATGAAAAAGTTTTGAAAAGGAATTTGTTGACAAAAATGTAATAAAGAAGAAGAAAAATGGAAGAGAAATGGTAGAGAGAACCTTTGGGAACTTGAGCTGGTTGATTAGGCTTTTAGAGGTCTGTCTGTGTACAACTCACAAGCCTTTTCAAAACACGAAAGGCCTACCCCTATTGCGTAGACCATATGTGAATGTGTGAAAAACTCTAAATAATCTAATTTTAGTTTAATTTCTTGTTCTCAAATATTCCATATTCTTCCTAATTTTACACACGCAAAAGTTAGGCTTATGAACTGTCGTGCCTGTCTCTCCATCTCAAATCCATATCAGGATCAACACAACCCTTCCTAAACGTGACTTCTGCCAAACTATACCACTATATATTTTTCACATGCATTTACCACTATTATATTTTTTCACATACACTTTATTAAACTTCACAATTATCATTAACGTGATTTTCACCTTATACAATTCACAAAATTAATTATTAATTTACAGTTTAATCGAGAAAAAATTTGTTGAATGAAACTTCATTTTCAAAACTTTGCTAACTTTATTTGGCAGAAGCATAAAGATAATATCGCATCCTACAGGAAATGGTGAAAGTGTGGGATTCCCGTAAAGAAATGGATGCAAGATGTTTAGACATGTCACGGCATGCTGTGTATAAATTAAGACAAAGTTGGAACTTTTACAACTTGGAGAAGATGGATGAAGTAGCCGAGAATCGATTCCTCCCAGCTCATTCAAATTCTCTGTTTCTGCTTTCAAATACCGTTTTCAGATTTTGAGGCTTTACAACAGATATGTATCATTCTCATCAAAATATTAACCTCTTTTTGTGCCAGACATGTCTGTTCTCTGATGCATAACACTCTTTCTTTCTATAACGTTCCAGAGGCTTCAATTACCACTTTCCTTTCCTTGGCTTTTTAACAATTTTTCTTTGTGATTAGTTCGTTTTAAATACACAATATTAATTCATAATTTATTGTTAAAAAATTGTAAAAGAAATTGTTAAAATATGATTATCTTCCTTTTAACACCTGTATTCTATGATCAACCTTTCGTACATATCTTTTACAAAATGTTTACACGTAACAACATAGCTATTTTTATTCTGGTCCTTGGATCAGTGAGATAGGGTTAAATTTCCTTAATTATTGATTTTACTTAAATTTCCTTAATATTTGTTTGATTCAGATTGCATAGGGATTTTTGTGAGCCGTACATCATAAGGTGTGTTTCAAACATTCTTGAGAATCAGTGATTATTATGTTTATCTCTCTCCTCTTTAATGCGCTCTCCCTGCCCCTCACCCCTCACCAACATGCTTTTATGTAATTAACATTTTCATTCTTCTAAGGCTCCACGTCATAATATCTCAATTTCTAAGTACAAATACTATAACATTGTCAATTTATACCATAATAATTTCTCGTAGAATATTTTAATTACATTACTAGTTACTAGTGTAAATATTTTATTATTTTTAAAATTCCTAAAAAATGTTATAGAGATTAAATTATGTCAAGTAATAGATATAAGAATAACTAAAAACGTATGAAAATTGAATAAGTAAATACAATTAATATATACATTAATTATTAAAAAGTGAAAACAATCTCTTTAAATTCATTTTCTATGAATTATTTTCTCAATGTATGCAATTAAAACTGTAAAATAATAATAATAATAAAATTTAATTATAAATAAACAAAATGTGAGAGAAGGAAAAGAAAAAAAGAGGAAGATACGAGATTTATAAAACATCAAAGTGGAAAATAGTGAAAAAATTCAACTTTCTAAAAATATTTTTAATTTAATTATAGAGTGTCATTCAAACTATTAAGGTAAAGTGAATGAAATATTTATCATTTTACCCTACTTACATACTTGTTTAGTTATTTGTAATTATTATAGTTTAATGAGGCATTTATATCCTCATTTTGTTTTTAACTATCATGATTGAAATATATCTAGCCTTATTCTATTTAATTATTTTGTTAATTATAAGTATTATTATTTGGTGGGATATCTCTAACTTATCTTGTTTAACTTTTTCATCATATATTATTTCATCATTTTTTTAGTTATAAATATTTTTAAATTTAGTTTAGAATATAATTTTATGGTAAATAAACATAAACTATATGTACATATTTAGAAATATAATAAATATTAATTATAAATTTTACTATGACCATAATTTATTATAATATGCTAAATAACTATAATTATAAAATAAAATAAGCAAATTAAATAAATAAATATTTGAAGCAATATTAGTTGTAGATTTAAATCTAGATTGAGAAGTTATGAATAAATATTAAGTAAGGTGAAATAGTTTTGTATATTTTTCTAATTATATTGAAACTTGTTTATTTCGAGTAATCACTATAAAAAATTTCAGAATAAATATTAAGTAAGATGAAATAGTTTTGTATATTTTTTCTAATCATATTGAAACTTATTTATTTCGAGTAATCACTGTAAAAATTATTTATGTATTTCAAAAATAAAAATATAAATGATATATATATATATAGGGCCTGTTAATACTACATCTGTTTTGTAATCCTTTTGTAATTATTTTAGTTTTTTGACAGGAATTGTTGGAAATGAGGTGAAAGCAAAGAAGGGAATGAAGATGGCGGTGAGTGACGGTAGCACGAAAATGAGTGAAGAGGTGAAGAAATTGACACGTGGCTGTGAATCTTGAAAGAGAAGAGAAAAGAATAGTAAATTAGCTGTGGCAACATACAACCTCTTCATGTGAACTTTAAACTCATGTCTCCTCCCTTCATCACATATACAACCCCACTCAAATATTTCTTCATTCACATGAAATATAAAAATAATAAAAATCATTTATTATTTTATATTAACTCAATAATACAATATTATATTTCTTAACATGTGTATACAAAACAAATAATTGTCATATTTAAAATTAAATAATTGAAAATTAATTAAAAATATAGATATTTTAAATATTTAATAAATAAGAAATTTTGATAAAAATTTAATTAAATCAATTAGAAAAATACAACATAAATTGAGTAATGTAATTTTTTTTCACGTGCATGATAAGTGCCCTTCATTTTCGAAAAGTAGAAAATCTAAAATATGTGGAATAGCATTTTCTTTAGGTTTAATCCTTTAGTACATCCCTATTTATGTACGAATGTCTCAATTGGGTCCTCGTTTTTTAAAGTGTATCAAAATGGTCCTTAATTTTGAAAATTCATATCAATTGAGTCCTTTCCGTTAAGTTGGCTGGACGGCGTTAAAAAAATTGATGAGTGGATGCTGAGAGGACGTACGGACGCTCGTCCACCAGCGGACGAACGCTCGTCCACCAACGGACGAACGCTCGTCCATCAGTGAACGAACGCTCGTCGACCACCGAACGAACGCTCGTCCAGTGTGGAACGAACGGTCGTCCAGCAATAATAGGTCGACGAGCGTTCGTTTTCTGGTGGACGAGCGTTCGTTCTCTGGTGGACGAGCGTTCGTTCGCTGGTGGACGAGCGTTCGTTCGCTGGTGGACGAGCGTTCGTTCGTCATCTCAGCATCCACTCATGAATTTTTTTAACGCCGTCCAGCCAACTTAACGGAAAGGACTCAATTGATATGAATTTTCAAAATTAAGGACCATTTTGATACACTTTAAAAAACGAGGACCCAATTGAGACATTCGTACATAAATAGGGATGTACTAAAGGATTAAACCTTTTCTTTACTATAAAAATTTCAAAACTTTGTTTATGCGAAAAAAGTCAACTGAATATTGATTATTTTAACATAGAACTCTTCTAACCATCAACTTTAGATGTACAACTTTAAAATATATCCTCTCTTCGCACTTTGGGAGAAAGAAACCGTCATGACAGACAAAATCAATTGGTCAATGATAATATTTTTAATATATAAGTAGTTTTAAACCATACATATGTAAGATTCGATATTTTTTGTGTATGTTCTTTTAGTAAATATATATTATATTAAAATATATTTAAATATATATTATATTAAAAGATATTTAAAAGTTAAAGAAAAATAATAATATTTTAAATTTATAAATAAATTGAGTAAAAAATGTAAAAAATTATTCATAAGTTTTTTAAGTCAATATATATAAAAATATAAAGAATAAATTATGTAAGGTACAGGTTCAGAGACTTTCAACATCAGCCAGCCAAATTCCTTCCTACAAATTAGATTACTACAAGTTACAAAAAGTGAATGCATTTCACTGATCTTCGAGATTATGATCAGCTATCTACACATGTACAAGACCATCAGCCGGTCTCCATCTATCAATTTCACTAAGGCGGCATCACTGCATTGAGTATCTTTAGAAGGTCAAGGATACTTTACTGGAGCAATGTAACTGAAATATTAGAGATAATGAAGAGCAAATGAAATATTCTCATCAGTTTTCCTCATACTGAAATGCCTCAAAATTTCCAGAAGTCATCAAACTCAGAAAAGTCACTTCCACCTGAAAATTCATAATGATCATCAGACAAGGAATCCATATCAGAGATAGATGGGTAATCTTCATCAAGTGATCCATAATCAATTTCAGCTTCACAGGAATACTCATCAGTGGGATTATATGGAATCCGTAAATCTTTTATCTGTTCAGAACATCTCTTACTCAAACTTCCCCCCAAGATAACATTGAAACACTGTCGTAAATCGAGAGATTCAAGTTTAGGACATCCATCAAGAATAGCAAGCAAGCCATCATTAGTCAGTTTGTTTCCAAAAAGCTGGAGATGGTGTAACCCAGGCATGGTCCCTGCAATAGCAAATGCCTCCTCATTACACTCAATGTGTGCACGTCCGTAACTTTCCATGTTGAATTTCAGTGATTTTAACAGAGGGCAACATCGGCCAATAACTTCCAGAGAATCCTTGGTTAAGTTGCTGATTGATATATCAAGTTCCTCCAACTGAGGAAGCTTTTTTGCAACATCACACAATCCTTTGTCTGTAATCCGACAGCAACGTGCAAGACGTAGGCATTGTAGACGATTTGTACTGCAAAATTGAAAGAAAATGCAGGGGTGAAGTGTGTACATAACAAAGATGCAACCAAAAGATCTGGCATGACATTGACGAACAACTAACTATATAGAGACACTACTACCAAAAAATCTGCTTTAGCTTTGGTAAACAATATAAAACTGTCAAATTTCTTCATTAAATAAATTTACAAGCTGTGAAATTTCATTATTAAACTTATATAAGGAACGAACATACTACACCTAAAACAGACAAAAAATAACTATGTTTTGACGTAGGGATAGATCCTCTCAACTTTCATGCCAAATTTTAACTTGGTATGGCCAAGTTCAAATACTATATCCATGTCTCTACCAGTAGACATTAAATAAGAGAAAGGCCTACAATATCGATATCGATATATATATATATATATATATATATATATAGAGAGAGAGAGAGAGAGAGAGAGAGAGAGAGAGAGAGAGGATATAAGAACATGGTCAATCATGCAATATGTACATCGCACCCTCAACTCTGTATATGACATCCCATGTCTGAAATAGAAGACAATTGGAACTAACCATTAAATTAGTGTATAATCAATTTGTTAGAGTAGTTGTCATTGTACTTCTGTTGCAAGCTACATCCCTCTATATATGCGAATATGAATTTAAATAGAGATCCATGTTAAGATCTCTCAAGTTCCTCTTCTCATGTTTTTTCTCAATTTGGTATGAGTGAGTCATCCCACTACGCTTTTTGTTGTCCAGTGAGAAAAACACCTTCTGCTACAGGTCACCATTGTTTCCTCTAGCGAGCATGGGGATTTGAAATACCTCTTTGAGTGATGCAAAACTCAACCACAAAGGCTAGCTCCTCCTCACTTGCCACCATGCACAGCTTCTTTACTAAACTCATCCAGCTGCATGTTGTCCACGAGCTGTCTTCTGGTAACCAAAGCATCATTGCACCACTTCCTCAGGTCTCATTGGCTTCTTTTGTCCATGTTTCAACCTCCCTTTTCATCCTTCTACTATTGTTGGCCACAAGTCCTCTTGAAACCTAGTGAATCTCCCCTTTTACCCTTTCCTCCTTTGACTTTTTGGCCAGAAATGTCTTCTGGACCTGCACACTCGTTTTCTGGGTCTCACAAAATTACTTCATAAAAGTTTAATGGTACTAATTATCTATCTGGTCATCATCTATAGAGCTTTAGTTCCTTGGCCAAGGTTTCTATGGTTCCTTAGAAAAGGAAAATAATGAAATATAATCAGAAAGTGCTGAAAGATGGAAGTCGGACTTTCAACTTTATGCTTTGTTGTGGCAATTCATAGAACCCAGTATATTGGGAACTCCAACAACATTGAAGTCCTTCATTATCATCACTCAATACCATAGTTCTTGATGATGAATATTTCAGTTGGCCTAATCATCTTTGAAAAGGTATCCAAACTAACAAAATTTCTCATAATATTCCTAAACTATCATTAGTTGTCTCCTACCTATTATTCATTTCCTCTGTGTCTTCTATAATTCAAAAGAAATGTGAATGAAGCACTTGGTAATCTTGAATAGGGACAAACTACGATTGTTGACATGCAGATTCTTGAACATAATCACACATGGTAATTAGTTTTTGTTCCACCTAGGCCAAAAACTAGTTGGATGTCGATGGGTTTACACCATTAAAGTGGGATCAAATTGTGAAAGTCGATCACCTTAAAACTAGATTGGTTGCAAGTATACAATGAGAGATATGGTCTTGATTATGGTGATACCTTTTTCTCTTGTGGAAAAAATTATTATTGTTCGCTTCTTCTTTGCCATGGTAAAAATTTATCATTAGCCTCTCCATCAATTAGATGAAAAAAATGTTTTCTGTTAGGGTATAAGGTGGGAGGTAATGAGAAGGAGAAGAAAGGTAGGAGGGAAGTGAGGCCGAACGATATTGACCGTAAAGGCCAAACGGTGGAAGGCATGGAGAGGTTAGGCCGAACGATGGACAAAAGGGGAAGTGAGGCCGAACGGTATTGACCGTAAAGGCCGAACGGTGGAAGGCATGGAGAGGTTAGGCCGAACGGTGGACAAAAGGGGAAGTGAGGCCGAACGGTATTGACCGTAAAGGCCGAACGGTGGAAGGCATGGAGAGGTTAGGCCGAACGGTAGACAACAGGGAGCGACCAGGCCAAACGGTGGGAAGCAGAGAGAATATTCAGTATAAGTTAATTAGAGTAAATAAATATAGTATAAGTTAATTAGAGTAAATAAATATATATTCAGGAAAATATTCAATACAAGATATTTATAATTAAGGATATATGCTAGGATAATATATAGGGAGATATTAATGTAGATATATTCTAGGGAAATATTTAATAAGAGATGTGTCAGAAATAATTAGTATAAATAAAGTTAGAGTCTAGGGTTAAAGGTATGCTTTTGATTATTGAGTTTTGTGACGAACATTATTGTCTTGTGAGGGAGGTTATGCTCTCAAAGTAATTGAAGGAGGTTATGCTCCCAATTATTGTTTACCCTTGTTTATTCAGATATTACCATCAATAAAAGAGATTCATTTATCCATTGTCATTCGTTTATTGTTCTGTTACGTGTGAAATAGTGTGAAAGGTTGTATTTGGCTAGTTTATGTACTCAGGTACGTAACATTTTCCTTCATCGTCACCTCCATGAGAAAATCTACATGGAGCAACCTTATAGATTGTTGCTTGGGGAGAGTCTAGGTTGGTTTGTAAATTACGACAATTTCTCTATGTTCTCAAGCAATCTCCATATGCTTGGTTTGAAAAACTTAGTCACATTGTTCAGATATTTGGAATGAAATGCAATAGGCATACATCTCCTTGAAAATGTATTTACTTAATTGTACATGTTGATAACATAGGGAATGATCCTACTAAAATTGCCCATCTAAAGAAGTATTTGTGTACTGTCATTTTATCCAAGAAAAGCTGTCCAAGATACTAGGTTTGTCAACTTCAATGATCATCAACTTGCAAATATTTTGACAAAATCTTTGAGAGGACCTCAAATTCAATTTATATGTTTCAAGCTTGTTACACACAATTTGTATACTTCAATTTGAGGGGTTGGATCTTAGAATTGTTTTCGTTACTTTGTGAGAAAAAATTCTTTTATACTGTACTTGTCTATAACATAGAGTCCAAGGGGTGAACATTATTTTGTAGCTTTTTGTCCATCCTTGTACTTGTGTTGCAAGCTACATATCTCTCTCCCTATATGAATATGAATCTAAAGAGAGATCCAAGTTAAGATATTCTAAGTTCCTTTTCTCATATTTTTCTCAAGTCTATCAAACAACAAATTTATGATTTTGAATTAGTAAAAAAAAAACGAAGGAATTAATAAATATAAACTTTGCCCTACTTCTAGTGAAAAAAGTAAAAATAAAAAAATAAAAGACCTAAAGGACAAGGGAAAGAAAAACTATTGTCAATTGGTTTCATTAAGATATGCGAAGAACAACACTCACGGACATTCTTTTTAACACTTTCTCCGTCACTGGGTGAAACCTCGTGCTAATGACATTAGCTTTGTTTGGATAAACTTCTGTATTTATTCATAGGAAAAGAAAAGGTAAAGGAACTGCTAAGAAAGATAAAATAAGCTTATCTCATGTATTAAGAAACACTAATAACTTAATTTTAACTAGTGCATTGAGCTACAGAGAAGTTTATCTTAGTATTCCTTCTTATTTCGTTATCTTGTTATGCATAAGTTTATCGACACATGGACTCAACAGAGTTTTACTCAATAACAATAATTTCTCCAATTTTAACAGTAACTTAAATGTTTGCAGGCAAGCGGTTGTTAGGGACTCAATGTAGGTGTACTCAGCAACAAGCAAGGGGGGCAAGTTTTGAGAATTTAGGGAACAGAAAAGAGCTAAATGCGACGAAAGAATGGAATGGGAGAGGGAAGTGGAGCTCACGAATCGGTGATGTGGCGTAGGAGATCATCGGTGCCGAAATGCTCGATGTTGATGCGGAGCAAGTGGCCGCAGCTGTAGTCAATTGCGCGGCTGCAAATGATCCCTAACTGCAAGTCCATGTCGCCAGAATTGCTCATGTCGATGGTGCACCACAGGAGAGGGTCCTTCGAGATGGTGCGCCATACAGAGCACACGTGCTGGGCGCGCGTGAGGGTTTCGATTGCGCCGAGCTTCTGGAAAATGGTACATAGCACGTCTCGCGGAAGATCCTTCCAGTTTCGCTCTTCACGATCCGCTCCTACGGACTTCACTGACGACGACGACGACGACATTGAATTGAAGAAACGAGAGAGGGTTTACTGTTCCTCCTTTTCTCTTTCTCTCATCCCATCCAAAACGACATTACTTTTGTCGTTCTTACTCCATCCCATACTTTCTTCTATTACCCTGCCCATAACACTCACCTAATTAAACTTAGTTTCAGATTTAAAAATTCGGAATTATATTTTAAATTATGTAAATTTAGAAATTCAAAATTTAAAAGAATTGTTTAGATTACATAATATAAAAATATTGTTTTATGAAATTTTGAAATATTATTCATCAATCTATAAATTATTATTAAAATAATAATTAAAGTTTTCATAAACAAAAAATTATAATATATTTTCTAAGAAGCTTTCCACATGTTTTTGAAAAGTAAAAAATTTCATTTAAATATAAATACAAATTATTTCAGTAAAGACATTATGGATATAGGTGAGTAAGAAAATGTATAATGTTTTCAGACTTTTTTTTTCATCCAAAGATTACTCTTTGCACCTCATAACAACAACAAAAGAATTAAGATACACTCCTTCGTTATCTTGAGGTTATCTTGATTAAAAGACATTAGAATATTATTTTATAAGACTCTAAAAAAGTATCCCCGAAGACAAGTGTACTATTCAGTGTTACTAACAAAAATAGACAATATTTTATATTAAGTCATACAAACAAGGTTACACACAAAATCAAATACTAATTAATAGAATTGACACAATCAAATTAATCCAAGTTCGTCTATGATAAAGACTCGTTAAAGTGCTATGTACAGTTAATATTTCTACACACATTACTTATTGATTGCATATTTATTATTATCGTTCACTTCTTCTTTTGTATTCATTTGAGTTTCAATGCAAAAAAATCACAAACGTCTCAATAAAATTAGAAAATAAAATCTCAATAGATTATCTAAGTCTTATAAAACGAGGTTAATTTATAACTTCAGGCTTGTTTGATTCAAGCATATTTTCACTTAAATGCATCATTGTATATGTTGTTCCATGGTAATGAAAAGCATGCTTCGTTTGATAATTATGAATAAATAATATAATAATTTTATAATACGAAAGGGTAAGTTTATTACTCTTGTAATAATAGCTATTGTAACATTTAACATGATTCATAATTTGTCACATATAAAAAAATCCCTCATGACTTCAATAAATGAGAAAAATGTAAAGTACGTGAGTAAATTTCAATTCGGTGCTACTGTTTTTAAAATATAACAACCTTCAAATTTAGACATAATTGTCAATAACCATAACTTAAGAGTAATTTTGAAAAAAAAATCCCATATTGTATTAAAACAACAATATTAACTGAATTTAACAATTATTCTTAATTAATGTGAAAATAGCAAATTTTGTTTAGAATTAAGTTTACAAGTAGGACATAAAATAGCATTTTAGCAACTGCTTGAACGGTGAAGCATAAAAAAACATTGGCCGCCAAATAAGTATTGCATGTTAAAAATAACGTTGTATTAGTATTAGTGTGTAAATCATGCAGACAAAGTAGGAATCAATAGATTTCATTTCACTGAAAATCTATCTTAGGAAGGAGAGAATTTACTCGAATTTGGTTTGCGGCCTTGGAGAAAGACAAAACCAATGAAAAAGTCAAACTCTAAGCAATAATTGCGCATCCACCATGAACCAGTGCATTTCCCATTTGAACTAACACCATCATAATAATACAACTATATTACAAATCAACAAATAACAACGTCAACTTTTTCATACAGAAAGAGATTGGAAGGGGGAGAAGAACGAAAACAAAAGTAATCTCTCTTTCTTGTGCTAATCCTCCATTCTTCTGTTACACAGTGCTCTTTGTTTATCATAGCTTATACCATATATTGTTTTGTAGCCTGTTGTAACATGGATCATATCCGGTCACATTCATCACCGCATTTTCTTTCTTCGGCAAGTAACTTGAATGGACAGCCAGAAGAAGAACGCGGGTTGGAAGGTAATTTCTTCCATGGGTTACACCCTTTAGCCCCTTTGATTTTTCCATTTTTGGATCCAAAATAGCATGTTCTTTCATCTTAGAATGTTAGAATAAAAATCGACACAACAATTTCAATTGATTAATCTTTCCACTACATTAGGTTAGACATGTGTGTGAATAAAATGATGGAAGTAACTACGTACAAGACCAATTTATAATATATCATTGTTGAATACGTTGTCCATCCGCGTTATCACGATATCTATAGAAGTTGATTTTTTTTGAATTGAGTCAGGCTTAAAAGTGAACTTTTTAACATACATCCTTATTTAATGTTCCATTTTCTGTTACAGGCCTTGCCACGCGTGTCAAGTTGTTACTGAAGTTAATTCAAGATCATAATGGGTCTGGCACAAAAGAAAATGATGAGCGAAAGGACCAGAGGATGAACGGAATGATGCTTATCCTGGATGAGGTTAGGAACAGGGTTCAAACTATTCAATCTACAGACAAGAGAAAAGCTGAACTTAGGAGATGTAAAACTGACCTAAGGAATGTTTCAGCTTCCAAGGACAAAAAGAATCCCCCTGGTGTGCCAATAGATGAGAAAGAAAAGCTGAAGAGAGAGCTTAACGCAAGCTTGGTGGCAAGACAGAGCCTTCAAGCACTGTGTTCGAGCTTGGGAAAAGAAAAGCAAATAATGGCTTCTGAACTTGCAAGGAAGGCTCAAGAGTTGACAGAGTTGGAGGATCTCATTGGTGATCTAAAGGCACAGAATGACATGTTGATGGAGAAGTTGCACGAATGGAGCTCCGAACAGAAGGAGAAGAAGAGTAATGGGGTGGAGATGGAATGCAACATAGTGCTAAGAGAGCGCAACAGGGCGCTTTCGGAGCAACTACAAAAGTCCATCGATGGTTATAGGTCTTTGAAGAAAAGAATAAGAGACATTCAAGAGGAAAACAGGCAAATTCGTGACACGATGGAGCAAATGGATGATGAAGTTGATGCAGGCATTAGCAGGCTAGGTAGCTTGAAGGAAGAAAGGATGAGAACTAATGTGGGGGAAAATGAGATAAAAGATGAACTTTTAGCTTTGGGGCAAGTGCTTTGTTCTCTAAAGATGAAAATCTCAAAATATACACAGAAGAGGACTTGATGTGATAGGCAAAAAGCCCAATATCTTGATTGATGGAGGCAATGAAGAGAAGCATGATTTAGAGGGGAAGAGAATGGATGTTGTATCAATATATATCATCCTTTTAAGCATGCACTTGTTCATTTCTTGCCTGCCTCGTCTATTTTCATATCTAGAAAGCATGCTCTTAGAATATCAGCAGAAAGAGATTAGGGAGCCTTTAACCAAATCAGTTGAATGTAAAATATGTTTAAGATGAGAGTCAAGAAGAGGCAAAGAAGATAGTGGTGACATTGCACATGTTTTTGAACATTAGTTCACTCAGATGTACACTGACCCGAGTGTTGTACAAACCAGATCCCAGTACTTTCTGTACGCATGTCCTAAACTCAATTTTCGTTCAGTGTAGTCTAATCTATTTCTTGTGGAGTTTATAAATAAATACATTACTCATACCAGGAAAAGAACATGAGAACAACACAGCTGTGAAGTTTAGAACGAAAAATCAAGGAAAATATATCACCATTTATACGAATTCGATTGTAGAAAATATGCTTGTGAAATTTACAAAACAAATGTTACAGGAACCATATCGAAACTGGCTCAAGAAGGACACGCTTACTACATAGATCCTTGCTTAGTTAACTTTTGAAAGATATATTGGATTTCCATTCCATCCTTCTAACCAGAACTCGGTCGAGAGGCTTATTATTTTACAGTGACTAGTATTTTGTGGTTTAATACGTTGAACTGTTGCATTCTTGAACTAATATAATTTATTCAAATTATACCCAAATATAGTTTTTAAAATGAAAGCAAAAGAATAAATAATTGGTGTATTTATTATAATATAAGGGCAAAAACTCATCTGTTCTTAAAACCTATTACATAAATCCACGCAATTGAAACGATGAATCACAATTTATTATTATTACCAGTAATCTTTACAGGAACATGCACCCCCTTTAAAATGGTGAAATCTACTGCCATCCCTGATAACTATCTCTCTATCATAAATCTTCGATATGAGTTTGATGGCCAAATGACAATCTGCACAAACTCTTAAATTCTTCACAACCCTGATTGGGATCCCCGGCGCTGTATTTAAGAGCATAAAAGCAATAGCAACTTTTTCACTGTGATAAGACAAAGCTTGTTCCTTCTCCTCTTCCTCTATGTCTGCAAGCACATTTGCAGTAAGAGGAACATAACCTTCTAGCTTCAACAATTCTGTAATCTTCTCTAGCAGCGCATATACATCCCGACTTTGTGGATGAGATCTATCACCCATAGTAAATTCATAAACACGGTTACCCAACTCAACTAAACTATAACCAGGTGTTTTCTTAACACCATCCTTTAACATGGACCTCCTTACAACTTGCACATCAGTCCAACGACGTTCGGAGGCATAAAGATTTGAAAGCAGCACATAGTCCCCGCTATGTTTAGGCTCTAACTTCAATATGTGAGATCTTGCTATCTCTCCTAGATCCAAATATCCATGTTTAGTACATGCCGCTAATAAGGTCCTCCAAATAACTGCATTTGGCTGCACTGGCATGTTCTGAATGTACTCGTATGCTTGTTTCACTAAACCCGCTCTACTCAACAGATCCACCACGCAACCATAGTGTTCTATCCTAGGCATGATACCATATTCCTCTTTCATTCTTCTAAAGTAATTGAACCCTTCATCCAACATCCCACAATGGCTGCAAGCATACAAGACACCAACAAAAGTGATCTCAGTAGGCACTAATCCTTGTCCCTCCATCTCTTTGAAAAGCTCAAGTGCTTCCTCACCAAACCCGTTAACAGCCAAGCCAACAATCAATGACGTCCAAGAAACTGCATTCCTTTCATTCATCTCACTGAACACTTGTTGAGCCTCCCTGATAGTCCCGCACTTTGCATACAGATCCAACAATGAATTAGTAACATACGAGTTCTCCCTCAACCCGACCTTCAACAGGTACACATGAACCCTACGTCCTAGTTCAAGAGCACCAAGCTCAGCACAAGCAGATAACAAGCTAACCACAGTGAACCCGTCGGGCTCCAGGCCCTCCACACTCATCTCCCTAAAGAGAGTCAAAGCTTCATTGGGCCTTCCATTAAGAGCAAACCCATTAATCACAGAATTCCAAGCCACGAGATCTCTTTCCTTCATTAACTCAAACACCTTGTACGCACTCTCAGTGCAACCACAAGCAGCATATATATGAAGCAAACTGTTCTGAACAAAAAGCAACGACTGAAACCCGTTTCTTATCGTGACTGAATGTATTGCTTCTCCCTCTCTAACATTCAATGACTTGGAAATAGCTTTCAAAAGAAAAGGGTAAGTATGAGTGTCAGGTTCAACACAAGACACTATCATTTGGCGATACAAATGAAGTGCAGGGCTCGGGTTTTGACTTTCAGCATAGCCCCTGATCATGGTGTTCCACGTGAAGACGTTGGGGTTATGTATCATGGTGAATACGTTGTAAGCATAGGACATGGGAGCAGAAAGGGACACAATGGTGAAGATAAGATGCTTGGCCATGTCAGGGTTGTGGAGTGAAACACCATGCCTAATGGAAAATGCATGAATTTGCCTTAGTTTGTGCTTGGAAGAAGCACAGGATTGCAACAGAGCAATGCACTTAGTGAGAAGGTAGTATGGCAGTTGGTTCTCTGGGGTGGTTGATAACAAGTTTGTAGCAAGGAACATGGATGTGTGACTGTGCATCAACGAAGAAAGCTTATAGCATACCTTCATTTGGCTCGTCTCAGTCACACATCACACGAAAAGAGGCCGATTTCATGGACTTCACATGAGCTTAATGCAAAGTAAAACTAGGTCCAATCAGTGTTGTTATTAAAGAAAAGGTCAAAGAAGCATGAATTGAAAAGAACGTTAACAAGTTCGTGTGAGATTATTGATTACCCACTATATTATAAATTGATTTTATCTATTATTGAATTTAGAATTTTTAGAAATAATTAATAACCTAATATCATGGAATTAGAACCGGAGATAGAGGGTGATATTAAACTCCACAAAACGCGAAACATTTAATGAAAGCCTGTACCACAGTCTGGTCTCTAAAAAATATTTTCACCGTGAACATGATGATCCAGTTCCATCTGTGCCAGACAAGCACAGTTGATTATAACCTTACATTATCCAGTTTAAATGCTCCTATGAAGATGGATTAATTTAATCTTGTATCATCAGAATCGTCAGCGTACTGTTGAAGTAAAACCTGGAATTTTACACAAATAAAAGGTTGTTTAATGATAAGATTCAGTCTATGATGGGTTCGGTGCTTGGACTACAGGACGTGCACCATCAGAAGTTACAAAGAATAGCTTTTATTTTGACATGGAAAATTGACGTGAAGACCTAAAAGGCAAAGCTGAACCAAACACAAGTTATTCGTAACACTTCCAAAAAATGATTACCACTTTCCCAAAAGGTGACAATAAAAGAGGGTAATTGACCGTTACCAATGGCGCAAACTCTTTCGATGTTACAGACAATTTCACGTAACGTTTAGTTACTAAAAAGTTGCAGTGGCTGCATAGAGACTTATTTGCATTTTTGCTATTAAAACGTACTGACTGAGATCTAGCCATCGATATCTGATGGTTTCAGAAACAATTATCAACCCAGCGGGGATATACAAGAATCCCAATATATTACACTAAAATATGTTGTTCCATAAATGGTCAATAATAATGTTTTTAATATGATAATTAAGATAATAAGGGAAATATCAGTTGGCGATCGTAAATTATCTGAATATTCACATTTCATTGAGCAAGGCATTGCAGTTTGCAGGCTGCAATTGAATTAAGAATCCATGTATTAGTTACAACCTTAGAGCCTGTAGAACTTGCCACAACCTCTGCATCATGACACCTTTGTCTGCAAATTGTATCCATTTCTGAAGGCTTACATTCATCCGGCAGCTCGAGGCTGTAAACTATGAAGTTCTGGTATGAATGTGAATCTGGTAGCATTGACTTTTGGTCACAAGACACCGGTTTTCTATGCAGAATTATCCCACCAGCAGCAACCACAAGTTCTTGCAGATACCCCTTGTATGAAGGTAAAAAATCTCCCATAAAATAAAACTTGTAGCCATAAAAAAGCTTTGGTTGCTGCATAAGAAATTGTCAACACAGCCATCAGTTTGCAAACAAGAATTTAGTGAAATATACTGCAATTAATCTAGCTTAACTCAACTGAAATGCACTAATAACAGCATCTACTACCTTTCCAGCTCGCCTTTAAACGAAAGAATGAAAACTGACACTCATTCCTCCAATTTCAGCGGGTCTTTTCTCTACTGCAAAAGCAGATATAGTCTATACTATACTTAGCAGCTACTTACATCTAAATCGTAACAGTAACTGTGTGAAAGCATACTTCTCGAGAATGATTTATTGCATCTAATTAATGAGGTTCCCTTATATTTGCTACGCAGATATTTATGCCTCTCCTTACACTACTTGAGAATGATTTCTCTAGGTTAACTGTACTTAGCTGGATTGGTTACACTAGCCTAAATTGGATCAAGATTATAAATTCAATCGAATCACTGAATCAAAAAACAAAATAATGACAACCAGAAGGAACAGTATTGCTATGTTTTCTTTTGCCTTCAAATCACTTTCTTGTAATAGTAGTGTAGTAATTATAATTGACAACGATGAAAAATCTAACCTTGTTCAATACTCTTAGTCGTCCAAGACGAGGACCATCCCTAATTCCGTGGATGTCAACATTAATTTCATAACGCTCCTCACCAACAGGATTCATTTCCTTCATGCAAGCTTTGATCCCTGATAAGGAAAAAACCAACCAACAACCCCATTACCAAATAAGAAAACGGAAGTTCAGACATTTATTATATTCTTATGATAAATGCATAGTAGTTAGAAATAGAAAGGATGAACTTACACTCAACTTTTACAATCCACTTTCCCTCCAGGATACCCAACAATACTTTCAGGGTTCTTCTGCATGCCCCGTTTTCATCCGTTGATGCTATAACATGGGTGACACTCGAGTCCCAATTTTTCAAAATTGTAACTTTAGATACACTTTCGAATTTGGAAACAATGTCCTACAATTTCAACAAAAGAAAAGGCAATAGATAAATTTCTTCAATGAAATATAAGATAATTAGAAATTAAATGAAATTATTTTACCTTCTCCTGTACGGATAGAGCAGAACAACATAGAACAATTTTCTTGTAAGATCTATGATCAGCCCGTGTTTGGCTTATAGTGTCAAGACTAGGACCATGGTTTTTGCCATCTCTACCTTTGCCTTTCTTGCTCCTTTTTTGGGAACCTGAATCTTCACAGGGCAACATGGAGGATGCATGTAGAGGACATAACATGACGAAGTTTTGCTGCAGTAAATTAGCAGGATCTAATTAGGCCTTCAATCTGAAAACGGTATTTGATTTCAAAAAGTAGTTCAATTTTCATCACATACCGTATCCCAACGACATAAAGAAGTCCACCTGGCACAAGGAACATGAAAGCTCCTGCGACAACTTTTCTCATAACAACCAAGTGCGGCCCCTTTAAGTCCACAAAAACTACATTTAATTCTTCGACTTCTACTTATCTCAGCTTCAAGATTTATTGCATTTTCACCGTCAAAATATACATTGGGGGCCCTGTGAACATTTAGAACAAATTACTCAATCCTAAATTCAAACTAGAGACAATTACCAAAATTAACCTAAATATAATCCATATTACCAAATGCTTAATTATTTGAAGGGTGATAAATATCAGAATAAGCAAGACATCTTAAGAACAAAAGCAAGTCCAAAATACCAAGACAGATATAGCACTACTCCTGGAACAAATCTTTACCATTCTGTGCAGTTCCTGTGACAATGTGTGACTTTAAACCCTCCTTCATGATCTGCAGGTACAGGTTTGCCATCAAGATAATGCACCATAGGGCCAGAAACCTGTATTTGGAATTACATACTGTAAGTTCCAGTCCAATTATAGTGATGACAAGAAAAGCAAGTAAACAACAATACCTCTGATTCTTCTGATGAGAGACAGAAAAAACATTGATACTTCTCGACATGGCTCTCACATTTCCTTAAAACTGTTTTATCAGTCAAAGAACGATGTTTCTCTTTTGATGGATCATTCAAATCGCTGACATGAGGACAGTGATGAACACTTTCATTAGGTAGAATTTCTTCAGCATTTTTAGTGATAGAGGTACATTCAGAAGAAAGCTTTGACCTTTCAGTATTTCTCAACTTTTTACTGCCAGATATAGATTTTCTAGTAAATATGTTTTTGGATTGCTTGCTTTTAGAGGTATTCACATTACTGTTTGTCTGTAGACTGAAAAGGGATGAATCAGAACCAGCAAACTCTTCGGTTGGGTTCATATTTTGTTTTCCAGATATTATCTTCTGGCTTTTTCCAGCAATCTCCAGAGGACAATGCTTCTCATTTTCTTGTTTAGATGGCGAAATACATGGATTTGCAACCATCTCCATTTCATCAATACTTAAAACTCCTGACGAATCAGGGACTGTACATGCACTTGTAGATGTTGGAACTGAACTGGTATTGAAACAAACCTTCTTGCCCCTTCTACTAGCCTTCCCCAGATTACAAGATTTGGGTTTGCAGTCCAATGCTCGTTCCTGAGTGACTTCTAGTGATACATGTCCAACAAGATGCATTCCATCAATTGAATTTTTTGGTTCGACAATCTGCTCATGCCTAATTTTTGCCCTAGCCTTCCTTCCCCTTTTCCTAGACTTTATTTGTCCATTTATATCAACAGAACTTCTAATTAGAGGAGAAACATTTGGTGGTAATGCATCAGCTGTTTTATTTCCTTTGGGATTCTCAAATTTCATGTTGTCAGCATCAGTAATGGGTAGATTTGCGTCCAGTTCCTGTGAGGCAGCCACCAATTCATCTTGATTTTCATCATCCTCGTAAGTATCCATGACCTGCAGCTAAGACGCGAGTCATTAAAACTTCAATTAGTGGGGAATACGTATAATCCATAATTGTGTATGAATATCATGTGACTTAAATGCTTTCAATACCTGCATTTTAGAGGGACTTGAAAATAATTCAGGAGAGCAAGGCCTTTGTGTCCATTCAAACATCTCACTATCAAATAAATTAACAGAGATTTGATTTTGCCCCTCATCCTGCATAACAGTGTCAAAAAACTGTCATTAATGCAATTTTTAATATTCGTATTATCAGTGTTACTCAGCTTGAGCAATGCAACCTGTTTTAATATCTAACCATAAAAAAACAGAACGTCTCAAAAAATTATATACAACAGTTAGTAAATCAAAATTTGGATTTTTAATGACTTCAACAAAGTTTGCTTCACTCGATATTCCGATACTCAATTATACCAAAGAAAAATAGATAAAATGTAGATAAAACCTATAAGATATAAATGTCAAAGAGCTCATAGTCACATAAAATGCACAACTATCAACAAAAAAAAACCACCAATTAATCATCTTTATAATATACTCGTTTGTTAATCCAGTACTTACGCATGGAGCGACATTAGAAGTGTTTTCATCATCCGAGTCCCTGAGATCACTAAATGAAGGAGGATTTGGTGTTGATCCATCAATAAATTGATCCTCGTCAGTTGGTGGGCTCGACTTTTCACCATCCTTTTCCTCTCTCAACCAAAAGAAAGGTGAAAGAACAGGAACAGATTTTTCACTTTGTAGAGGCATTTCACTTCCAATGAGAGGAACCTTTTGCACTCCTTTCTCTTTGTTAATTTCACTAAGACAATCTCCAAGCTTTAAATTTTTCATTGGAGTCTCTGAAAGAATATTTTGTGGCACCAGCACCCTTTTCTTGGCTGGAAAAGAAGGTTTTGGTAAGCCAGAGCCTGAACTTTCCATGTTGACCTGGACTGTCTTCTTCGCCTTCTTCATCTTCCGGGTTTTCTTCTCTTGCACATGACCTTTATGAGATCCACCAGCTTCCACTTTGCCAAAGTCGGCACTACCATCACATTGCTTTTCCACATCTGCAATACAGTGTTAACCAGCGGTTAAAAAGAAGTACAGCAGATTCACAAAGACTTGTTCCCCAATTGTTGTCAGTTAGACATTGAAATGGTATGTGATAGACCGACATATATGGGAAACTAAAAAGCAAAATCAAACCACTCACCCGATAATTTAGCTTGAGATACATTCTGGGTAACAAATATATTGATTCCTGAAGCAACTTCCATGCTCGTATATATATTGACCAAGTTGTCCATATGAGGAGCAGGGCGAATCTCTGTACAAAAAATGAACCATAAGCTGTGTCTTTACGAAGTTGTCCATATAAGCAGTTCTTTAGCAAAAGTAACTAAAACGGACTCACCGCGTTTCTCACTAAATGAATTTTAAAATTACAATATTAAGAGCTTTCTTATTAAAACATAATAAAAAATTTCATTCGACGATTAAGACTGTCCAATTTAATTTGTAATTAAAAACGAAATAAAATGCTCAATTAGGGTTGAGCAAGAAAGTGAGGGCAAAAAGCGTACCTCGACGAGTGAACGGGATTTTACATACAGGACAAGCAGGTGCTGATTTCATGGACTTTACAATACACGAGCTTAATGCAAAGTAAAATTAGGTCCAATCAGTGTTGTTATTAAAGAAAAGGTCAAAGAAGAAGCGGGAATTGAAAAGAACGTGGAGAGTGAGGACATTTACTTGCAGAAGTGATGATTGCAGGTGAGCGAAACCGCAGAATCGAACAAACTCCAACTGTACAAACAATGCAAAGCTAATGAAACAGGAAGAACAAGAGAAACAGAAACAGGAAGAACAAGAGAAACAGAAACAGAAACAGAGGCGAAATGGAAAAAGAAAGAAGAAAGAGATTATTGATAATTGCAATTACCAGATTGGGCATTTGAGTTCTCTGCCCATTCTCTCTAAATCTCCCATTGCGATGTCCCAAACGTAGACACTAGCATGAACAACAGAACTCATGCGGGAACGAAGGTTTTATTCTTAACCATCGTTTCGAATTTAAAAGCGCGCGCTTCTCAGGCGCCAATTTCGTTTTTACCTCACTGCGTAAAATTCAAATTTTCTTCTACCCACCAATTTTTATTCCTCTGTAATAAATAGGTTATCATAAGCTAAATACCTTTTTTTTCCTTTAATTGTTTTAAAAAATTCAATTAAACCCATGAATTTTATTTTATTTAATTAAATTTTTTAGTTTTTTAAAATATCAAATTTAGTTAGAATAGTATTAACATAGTTCCTGGTATTTTCTTTTTCTTTTAATTATTTTTATTTTTATTGTATTTTTTTATTTATAAAATTAAAATAATTATTACATGACTGTATCAGTATTACGTGACAGATTCATATCTCACGTGTTTATACATGGTCACATGTAATTATTTTGTATTCAATTTAAATTACTTAATTTCATCATTTTTAAAAACTAAAAAATTTAGTTAAATCAAATAAAATTACGAATTTAATTAAATTTTCCAAATAATAATCAAAAAAATATTTAGTTTTATTTATTTAAATAATATATTACTTTATTCTTTCATTTTTTTTCTCACTTTTCACTATTTCATAGAAGTTTGAGTTTATATCTTTCATAAAAGTGTTAATTAATTAGTATACAACCACAGTAAATTAAATTATAAAATATGAAATATGCAAGTACCTTATTAGAAATAAATTACATAATCAATATATAATGACTAGTATCTAATAAATAAATAAAAGAAAGTAGTATATTACTTAAAATAAATAAGGTTAAATATATTTTTTCTAATTTGTTTAAAAAATTTAATTAGGCTTCTAAATTTTATTTAATTCAATTAAGTCCTCTAGTGTTTTAGATAATACGATTAAGTTTTCTAAATTGAATACAAAACTCTCTTATGTAACACCAATGACACATTATACAACACGTAGCTCGTGAGTCTATCACATAACACTGAAATATTAAAAACACATTTAGAAAAAACTGTGAAATACTGTTTCAATCAGGCAATTCATCACAAAACACATTTAGAACCCGTCAAATTGATTTTGACTCATTTTCTTGAATTTATAGCCGGCCCTATCTGATCGAGATTGTAAAATTTTGTTTTAAGAAGTGAACATTGAACAGCAAGCAGCTTTTGTAATTTAATTGTATGATTTTCCATGTCTTTCTGAATGCTTAGCATTTTATGATTCGATTACACGGTTGTCATTATTTTCCTAAAGATGTAATCTATCTTCATAGCATCACGAACACAGATTTTCGTTATCGCAGCACAGAAGAAAGAGACGATCGCCATCTCGGATTACATTTATGTCATCTATCTCTGCATTCTCTGTATTTACTACTTTTGTAGGGTTCAAGCCGCCAAATTTTTCACCTGCAATTTTGCAAGTTTATAGTTAGGAGGACAAAGTTGGAGCAGTAAAAAGTTACTCTGTTTTTGTTTGTTGAATATAACATGTATTTTTTTGAAACTATAATTGCTCTTCTATATGTTCTTAAATCATAATTCATAATCAACGTTTTATTTTGAAGGTCAAAAAGCTTACCGGCAATTTTGAGCAGTTCTTCTAACGAATCGGGCAGGATTATTAATTTTCCGTGGCTTCCCTGTGAGCTACTCCTGCATTCATGTAGCAACTGGATTGTTACTCTCTTCTTGGGAAGCCTTGCCGATTCGATATCACTTGGACAGTTAGAATTTCTTGAATTGGAGTTTGTGCTTATTTTTTCTTTTGAATACTTGATAGATCTAATCCCACCATGTCTTCTGTTTCTCGTTGAGCTATCCCTGTCAAGGAGGATTTCTGGCTCCTCTATCTCTATTCTAAATTCATCCAACTTCTCCTTTTCATGACTCCTTTTTGGGTCACAAATTCTCTTGTTTTTCGGCGGTTTTGCTAGAGCATTTTGTGTCCACCGTATGGAATTTGCGTTAGGATTTGATTCTCTCTCCAGCAGAATTTCAACAACATCTAGATTCCCTTTGCGTGCAGGGGCACGAGCTTCTCTTGTATCACGCTCGGGGATCACGCTATGTTTAGTGACTAAATCATCATCATTAGTCACATTACGCAAACCGATCTCAGGCTTTCTAATATCTATGCACTCTCCTTCACCCATTAATGAATGCTCATGTGAATTATTTGTACCCTCGTGAGAATAGCTTCGTGTTGCATGATCTCCTTGAAGCAGTTCATTTGGAAACCGCCCAGAATCTGTGCATAGAAATTCAAAGCCAAAATCTTCACGCCCCTTCAACCTCTGTCAATGCATAAAAAAGTGGTTCAGGAACCTATTATTGTTGACGGAATATGCTATAAATGATTTGAATTTAGAGGTCTTCCATATCCTCATTATTACCATTAAAAGGTTATCCATTATAATTTGTGCGTCTCCTGGATTTGCTTGTAAAACATTCATTAAGGATGTTTTGTTGAGTCTTAAAATCTGAGAAAGTTCTGTTGTACGAACTGTAAAAGGCTGGGGTATCTGATACAAAACTCCAATCTCTCCAAACGCATCAACTGCAACTGCCTTCCCATGAACCTGAATTGTTTAACGTAGAGAGAGAAAGTTATATTCAGTTATTTCATATTTTGAAGCTGAATAAAATGTCATGATCGTGAACAACTTTACATTATCATGCCCATCGATGTAGCGAACCAGATCCTGCAACAGGTAACAGTTTAAAAAAAAAGAAGAAAATTTGTCAGAAAACATACTCCAAAATTAATTAATGCTTATTGAATTGTTCATGATTTAAGCTGACTCACCACTGCCCCTGAAACCAGCACATAAAGTTCCGTGGAGGACTCGTTTTGTAGTATGACATCTTCCTTGGGTGGGAAATATTCAGCTTCCATATCTGAAATCTATTATAACAGGGTCACTTGAGTCAATTACGGATATTTTAGCATTAAGACAAAATGTCACGATGATAAAAGCAAACAAGGCATGTGGGGTATTAGTATTACCAGTTGGAAAAGGAAATCATGTGAGGCTCCTTGGAAAAGGTAGACCTTTTGCACGACAGGAAAAAACAGATGGTGTGCAATGCTTGAACGAATTGCCTTTGGAAGATCATTCAATGTTTCTTGCTGCTTCAGTCCTTCAGTTTTAAACCTCAAACATATATGTGACAACATCTGATCTTGTATGCGATGGGGCAAATGATTTCTTGATGCAAATTCAGAAGCTGCTTTGACTGTGTCTCTCTGCGGCACCAAAACCAATCCTCTCTTCATTAGACGGAAGAAATAAAATTCCTCTTATCTGAACGAGTTATTTAATTGGAAAGGAGATAGTTAGTTATTGCTGAAAATGAAACTGCAGCGCAGCAAGCATACCATGAAACTAACAGTAGGATTATGCTAGATTTAGATTTGCTGTTTTAAATGTAACACCGAAATGTGGGGCCCACAGAATATCTAAAATTAGCTTTTTGAACATTGTCCTGGATAGTGACTTTGAAGGGCATTATTAAATGAGAAACAGATTTTAGTTTAATCTAACGCAGAATAATAATTGGCACTGATAAATTCAGCACTATCAGAAGAGAAGAAACAGGAGTTTGAGAGAGTACATACAAAATTTCTGGTACGGCTGGTCCAGTGGACTACAAGGTTAGTCATGTTTCCAATGATATAGGAAGTTAAACCCAAGTTGAACAGCATGTAAGCGATATCAAACAACATCTCTCTCGTGTTCTCAGCATGTAAATCCCCATAGCCAGTGGTAGTAAGAGTGACAATGGACCAGTATATTGCAGTGACATATCTGTCCCAAAGACTTTCTTCTTTGAAATTTGGGTACACAGCACCAATCCAGGTTCTTTTGGAATCTGGGTACCTATCTGCAATGAGATAGTTAAAGCATCCCGCACAGTGCACAGCAAAAAAGGTCACCTGAAATTTTGTGAAAGTGGCAACTCAATAATAGAAAGTAACTTGAAATTATTACAGCAAGAAGAACAAAGAAAACATATGAATTCTAGTAGCTTACAGCAATGAGCTTTGTGCACCTAATCCAGAAATAATTGAAGCGAATGTCCTTTTCAAGCCTGAAAGCAAAGCAAAGGCGACATTAAGAAATGTCATATACTTGAAATTAGAAGCCTATGATGAAAACCATACATAACCATAAAGTTGAATATGATATGATGGTATTGGTATACCTTGCAAACAGAGAACTGACTCGTCTCAAACGCCATAACCGAAACATGTTAAAAACTTTGAAGCCAAGCTCACTGCCACTATTCGTGAAGAGGAAGCTGAAGGACTGAAACGGTATTGTTGAGCAGACATCAAAAGCAAACCAGGAAGATAGGTACCTGCAAGTTTGGTTGAGCCATTTAGAGTAAGCAGAGTTGTTGTAGCATCATTTAGCTTTGAGGAAAAAGTTATGTACATTCACCTGATTGCAATCCTCTTCGGATCATCAACAAGAAGATAAGAATGGTGGTCAATGTATGCAACAAAGAATGTCAACACTATGTCAATTGCAAAGAAACCATTGACAATGTTGTCTATGATGAATAGTGCATTTTCCTTGTAAGGCAGAAAGGCAAACTCAAATGGGCAAATCCAAGCTGAGTATATGACTAGAACAACCAGTACCAACTCCCAAGCCCTGTAATAAAAGAACATGAGAAGATGCAGAAACAAACAATATTCACGAGAGTTATGTATCTTCTTGTGACTATATGTAAAGGGTCATTACATCACCTATAGCGAGGATTGAAAGGGGAGATTACGTATCTTCTAAGTCTAATTTCCTGGTTAATTCTGGCTCCAAGAGATGGCAGGAGATCATCATTGGCCAAAAAGCTTCCATGGGGAATATTACCCATTTGGTATTCAGCTTGCCAGAACCTCTGGAAGAAGTTTTTGGCACAGGAAAGCGACATGTGTGTTTAAGTTTGAATCCTCAAGGCTATGCAGAGGT